GCTTCTCGATCCCGAGCAACCCTCCACATTCGACATGATGACTTCTCAAGCAGGGTCTAGCAGCAGCCGCCATACAAGGCGCGCATCTTCAATACTCACCACAGCCGCTGCCACCCTGTTCCTGGCAGCATCACCGCTCGCCTCGGCCCATTCTTTCCCCTACGTACCTACCCAGCTTCTCCTCCCTGGCCCTACGTGTGCCGAATCTACAACGCCTTGCGAGGGTGGCGATCTTGTCTACATCTTTCGCCAAACCGATGCTGGCGATGTTCAGTTCCGCTCCTTGAACTATTCATCTGGCGTGACCCAGAGCCCAACTTTCGAGTCTCCTACCGACGGCGAACTGCCGTTCCTCAAAGACGAATCCGATACTACAGCGTTTGGCGTCGCGAGAACACCCAATGGCACCTTGCTTGTGTACTCGGGAGACTGCGAGACAGGGAGCAGTCATGTCTGGAGCTATAGCGCGAGCGACAACAACGGATGGACGCAGCGTGGCCTCAACCGGAAAGGCAGCGGAAATCGAGCGCCAAACTTCCTCGGAGGCACAATTGCCTTTTCATTGAATCTTGCTCCGGACATGGACCAACCTACCATTTACACCTACGGCGGTATGTGCAGCAGCCCTACCGACAACACGACGACCTGGCAGGGCGATGCCAACTACACTAAGACGATGCTGAATGTTGCTCCTGACAGCAACGATGCCGACACGGACTTTGTTGCGAGTCTGGCCTCCACTGATGGACCTCGTACACCTATTGCCGGCTTCACCCTGACCGAGCTGACGCCGTCCATGACCAATAAGTCTGGCGTTGTGACGCAACAAGCCAGTTGGGTGTTGTTGGGTGGACACTCGGAGACTGCCTTTATCAACATGAGCACCGCAGCTGTGTGGAACTTGCCCGCTCAGTCTTGGTCGTATGTGGACATTCAGGCCCCCTCGACGAGCATCAAGACCGAATTGGCTGCCAGTAAGAGGAGCAGCAAGCAGAGGCGTCGAAGGGCTACGATTGATAACGTCTACAGTCGCTCTGGCCATACAGCGACGCTTAGTGAGGACGGCATGTCCATCATCATCCTTGGTGGTTGGGTTGGAGATGTCGAGACGCCTGCGGAGCCACAGTTGGCCATTCTAGAGATGAGCGAGGCCTATAGTGGATGGCAATGGAGCATCCCCCAGAAGCAGCCCAGTATGAGTATTTATGGCCACGGTGCTGCAGTCCTCCCTGGAAATGTCATGATGGTCTACGGCGGCTGGGAGATGAGCTCATCGTCCAGTAGCAAGGCAAAGCGCCAGATATCGACATCAACGCGGTTCTTCAACCTCACATCCAATACTTGGGCGTCGTCTTACAAGAACCCCAATGTTAACAGCGAGATATCCGACGACGGCAACGCTCCTAAGCAAGATGGCCAGCCAAACTCGAAGCGTCTTGGGCTTGGTCTCGGATTGGGCTTCGGCCTCGCTGTTCTCATTGCCATCTGCATCGCTGTGTTTTGTTGGTACAGGAAGTACCAACGTCGTCGTCAAAATCGCGATCAAGCTGTTCGTGCCTTGTCACAAGATGCAAACCACTTCCTGCCTGATCATGACGAGATGATGGAGCGCGACGACGAGCATTGGGACGGCGCTGCGTGGACCGGAAGCGGACAGGACCCTTATCAGGCTGGTGAGCGGTCCTTGGGTTACGAATCCCTCCGCACCACCCGCGGCGGCGCCTTTGGCGGGCCACTTCCAGGACTGCATATCCCGCGGAAGCCTGTGGTGCCGAGACAGTCTACGCGAGGCTATGCGCCGACAGGGACACGTCCGACGAGCTTTGTTTCTGCGCCGAACCAGATTCATCCGATCTATGAGGACGATGAAGAGGAATCATATCACCAACAAGCCCGTATCAAGGAGGATGTTCAGACGCCTACTTCGGATGCCCCTTCGGATCCTTTCCAGACTCCTGTTGCCAACAACCCCCCTCCCATTCTTTTCGCATCTGGCGGTCGAGGCTCTGCTACGCCGAGCCCAGAGGGTCCACGACATGATCCTGAAGTACAGGACTGGGTCTCCGACGTGGACGCCGCCGATGCCATGCTTGCCAGAATGAACAGCCGTGGTGGGCAAGGACGTGGATCTCCTACAAGACGCAACTCCTCTCGTGCGACAGCTTATCGCGATGATGAGTCTCGTAGTGGCTCCAACTTGTCCGAGTCAGCGCGCAGCGCTGCTGAGAGTCTCAAGGCGACCTCGAAGCGAGGCACTTTACCCGGTCCATTGCTGCTAGCAGGTGGAGTTGATCATCCCAAGCCTGGCAGCTCCTCATCGAGCAGCTACAACACTGCCAGGTCCTCCTTTGGAGCCCTGCGAGCCGAAGGACCTTCGCTACTACTAGGGAACGATAACGGAGCGTACTTTGAGGATGAGCCGCCGCAGCCTTCGTCCCCATCTAAGAGTAAGCCTCGTCGGGGCTGGCTTGGCTCTCTGCGTCGTGTCTTCTCCAACTCCAGCACGCCTACTTCATCTCACGAGGACATGTCACAGATTCGACGGTCATTTGACCAGGAACCGTACGCCGGTGACTACGAGCCCGGCCTGGTCGGTCTGCATGGAGAGCTTCTGAGGCGGAAGCAGGGTCGACAGGGCTGGGAACAAGACGGTGAGGGCGCCGGACTGACGGCGGCGGCTGGTGTGAACCGAAGCCCCGAGTCGGACTGGGACATCGAGCGCGCTGTGGAACAGCGATTGGTGCAGGTCATGTTTACAGTGCCGAGGGAGAGACTTCGCGTTGTCAACGGAGACGCGGATGGGTCTGATCCGGACGAGGAAGTGCCCGTCTTGCAGCCGCAGAGTGCTGTGCTCGTCGACCCGGAGACGGAGACGAATGCTGGGAGCAGCATCAACGAGAAAATCCTGGAGCGGGATGAGCTGAGGGTGAAGGATGACGAGAAGATGGATGAGAAGCCTGACGTCGAGGATGCCATCGTGGACGAGAAGCTGAAGGAGATCGAGAAAGAGCTCCAACGTGAGGACGAGAAGCTTTACGAGAATGAAGAGGATGACGAGGAGCTTTACAGCGCCGACGAGAAGCCTTATGAAGAGGACAAGAGGCTTTACGAGGACGATGAGAAGCTCCACGAGACCAGCGAGTTGCTTTACGATGCTGAGGAAAAGCTTCATGACACCAGCGAGGTTCTTTATGATGCTGATGAGAAGCTGTGGAAGGACGACGACAAGCTGTGGGAGGATGACGATAAGCTGTGGGAAGATGATGACAAGCTCCTCGAGGATGAATCGACTCTTCGAGATGGATCCACGCTTAGGGATGGATCAACATTCCGGGATGGGTCAACACTCCGGGGCGGATCAACAATCCAAGGTGATCAGGAGGACGATGAGAAGAGAATGAGTCGTTTCGAGGAGAAGCAGCCAGAACAGCCACCGCGAGCTCAACAGGATCTACTAGAAAAGCCACCACTGCAACCGCAACCACAACCCCTTCAATCTCTTGAATCCCCTCAACCTCTTCAACCCCCTCAACCTCTGCACCTTCATCCCATCCACCCTCTCTTCCACCACCACCAAGTGCGTCCTTCTCTCTCAGCCTCGCCATCACCGCCTCCATTGGCAAGCGCCTCCCATAGCCGCAGCCACAGCCGAAGTCAGAGCCGACATACCCGGAACCGCAGCCGCCAACTCTCAACAGACACGGGCAACTTGTCGTTTGCCCAGCACCTGGAGCTCCCATACTTGGAGCGGCACTTGACGCACGAGACAGACGACTCGATGGGTCGAAGGTCGTCAGCAGGCGTGGTGATGGAGGCGCAGGCCATGTCGTTGTCGCGTGAGAAGCCGAGGACGAGGGTGTTGGCTATGGTGGACAGCTTTGAGAGCTTGAGTCGGGAAGGAAGTCCCAGCCCAAGTCCGACGAGAGAGAGGCCCTGATGAACAGGACTTTCTGTAGCGACGGATTGAGATGTTTGCAAGTATTGTATCAAGGAAATGTGTGTATGTATGGATGTATCTACGGAACAGGCAATGTATGTACGCAAAGGACGAGGGGGCATTTACATATGATGGCTCTTGCGGATCAGTTCAATGGTCCTCGAGCAGAGCGAAGGGACGAAAAGGAGTGGCTCGACTCTTCTGGGAGCATGGAAATGGACAGGAAAGGGAACGGGAGCTTTTCGGGATAATTTGTGCTTTCTGGTAGTTCTTTGGAGTTTGACAATCAGGAGGGAGTCGGGAAGGACAGCGAGATATCTGGGCAGGTTTTCAGACGGTACAGATTTGCATTTTAATGGAATAGACACGTGATGTTTATTATGCTACTCTTGTCTGTTTTAAATGCTGTAATGTATTTGCTCCGGGTGTAGTATTCATGCCATGTGGTCTCGCGCCTTGTCCCAGGAATACGACATGACTTAACCTGTAGCACCACGGAGTATATTCGTCCCTATAGCTCGATCATGCTCGATCGGCGATTCACATCAACAGCGTCACGGCCCGACCGCTCTTCTGGAGAAACCAATGGCTCAATTGCTGTCCGGTGTCTGAGCTGGAGCAACGGACCCCGAAAAAAAAAAAAAAGCAATGCGGGAACAACGCATCTTCTCGTCCCAGGGCCATGGATGACGATCCCCCATGAGCCAATGTGGAGTTTAGTATCTGCGTCAACAGCCACCGAGTCGAATCATGAACATGCTTTGTCTAAGCAATCCTGGGAATGAAGTGCTAAGGGGGCTGGCGTGTGTGAATCGGCGTGCGGATGAGTGCGAACGGCAAGGAGAGGAAAGGGACTTTGGTAGCTCGCCTATGAATCAGCCAGCAACTCTTGAATGGATGCACATTAGGGAGTCAATGTTCATCCTCGCCTCACTCCTGGCCTCAATCCTAGCCTAAACCTCACTTCAATCCTCACCTCAACAGACTCAGATGTGATTGCCGACGGCGAATAGAGTTGTTATACCACTATACCGTCCTACTCCATCATCAATTCAATTGGATGGCTTCCGTAGCTCAGTTGGTTAGAGCTTCGTACTAATAATTGCTCCAGCCGAGCGAAAATTGGTGATGCGAAGGTCGCAGGTTCAAGCCCTGCCGGGAGCATTCTCCCATGGCCTCCATTCTCTTTTTGCACTATCTCACAACATCTGTTGATGTTTTTTTTCCCCCCGCAGGCTGTTGTTGAATGTCGTTGGGATGCGTTGTAGTTCGTTGAGGTCGATGGAGTTGCGCTTCGCTGGGTGGGCCTTATCCCTGACTACACAGTACGTACCTAATGTGGGTGAAACGCGTACCCGGCGCCACCGACTCCACGTCAGATGCAGGGGGAAGGTCCTGGATGAATTAAAGGAATTGATGCCAGTGAATGTCATCTTGTTCACGGCAAGGAGAAAGCTAGAAGTCTGGGATTCGGGCCGTAATTGTTCACCCGCAATAGGTCCAACGTGTGGTTTCTTTTGTTGCTATCCACTGCCTCCTGTATGTATGCGTATGCGGCCTGGAAATGAGAACACTCAAACGCCGTTATGATGCTCTTTTGTATGCCTATCCGTAATGTACACCTGTAGTAGATTATTCACCCGTCTTTAACTGTGCTGTTCTCTACCAGCATTTCGACGGGTAGTCCACCGTCCACGACCACCAGTAGGTCCTCGACGTACTGCGCCGTGCCTTGTGCTTCAGGGGCTCGTTCCACCGCAAGATGGCGTTGATGAGCCGCTGCCCGGGAAAGTCGAGGATAACCACGCCTGTCCGCGTCGTGTCCGGGTTTTCCTCAAAGTCCTCGATCCATTGGCCCGTCATGTCGTTCATGCCAGCCATGGTGCGGTTGAGCGGCCCCGCCGCAGCTTCAATGGGCAACACGCCGACGGACGCTGAGACGTGCGCTAGGTAAAGGAGTTCGTTGTCCTGGGCAGCCGTGGCGGCGAGCTCGAGGGCGTCACGGATGGCTGTCCACTTGTCGGAGAGATGATAGATATCTGGGATGATCCAATAGTCTTCGAGCGCCATCTGCTTGCCCTCCCACTCGAGGCCATAGGGCCCGTGTTCTTCAGGGAATTGCTGCAGGAGGAAGATGCGGGAGCGCAGGTCACCGAGCGTAGGTAGGGGCGATGTGCGGTTGTACAGGTACAGGTGGTCCACAGCACCCGAGGATGTGAGGGGGTCCTTTTGACGGTACTTGTTGAAGGCGTCTTCAAAAGTGATTGTGTTCTTCCCGCCAATGGGGGGACCTTCCTGCTTCAGGCGCATGATGATAGCCTCGGAGGGGTTCGCGTCGAGGAACTCAAACATGGCGAGCAGGACGTTTGTGAAGCTGAAGCCCGTGTAGCCGTTGGCGTGGTAGATCTGTAGCTCGTTGTCCTGCAGCCTGGCCCTGATGTCAAAGTAGCGCAGGCCAGCGTCGAGCTGCATGCTGAGGTTCCAGTTCTGGCACTGCAGGCGCTCGGAGCCGATGTCGTAGGTCATGGTGTCGTGGGTGCCGGGGATGCTCAGGTCGGAGAGTAGCACATCGTCGGGCAGGGCGGCCATCCAGTTGGGATGGTGGGCGAGGCCGGCGTCGAAGCTGAAGGCGCTCTGGTAGCCATGGTAGCAGACGCCCCAGACCATGCAGGGGGCGAGCGAGAGGAGGAGGTAGAAGAGGGCCATGACGAAGACGACGGCGGCCGTGATGAGGACGGGGAAGCGGCGGAGGTGGGAGGAGTGGTAGTGAGGACGAGGGCCGCTGCCGTGGAGGAGGCGGCGGGCAAGGCCGGAGAGGCCTGCGATGGACGGCATGATGGCGGTGTCGGAAGGAAGGAAATGGGAGGAGGAGAGGAGGCCGGTCGGGCCGGGTCTGTGGGGCCGGAAGAGGAGGAAATTGCCAAGCTCGTCACATTTGAGGGAAATTGTGTGATGATTGCTGTCGAGTTAGCAATGAATCGAGCTCCGAGGAAGGGCCTTGGTGAAGATAGGCGGGCTCGAGCTCGTGACTGTCTGGATGGCGATGATGCTTGACGGTGTTGTTGATGGCGAAATGAAGACCGAGGTCGGAGGTCACGGCCAGGCGGACGGTTTCTTCGGTGCGGTGCGCGCCAGGCGACAGGGGGAGCTTGGGCCCGTTTCCGGGGTTGCACCTGCCAGAATTTCGGAAGGTGAGTGGTCAACGAGACAAGTCAGAAGACGTCATTGAGGATTTGGTGGGCCCACGTTCACGATGAGTTTTACGAGGTCATTTGGAGTGTTGCTTGTTGACAATAGGGTCTGGTGATGGCTTCATATTTTGAAATTAGTTAGAGAGAGGTTGGTTGGCGTCCATGGAAGGGAAAGGACGGCATCAAGTCAGTCTCCTCATGGCTGCATTGCACCGCACCTCGGCATCATGAAAGCACATCCATCATTAGTAGATGCATCCAAGTTCATCATCAACTTCTGCGCGAACAGAGTCGTCCCTCCGTTTCGCCTCTCGTCGAGCATCCAACGCCATTTACACGCCGATGAGAAACTCAAGTCTCCCGAAACCAACAGTTTGGAGAGACAACGGGGAGTCAAAAACACCATTTCCTTTTATACTTTAATGGATGATGCCGAAACTGTAACGACACCACCTTTCTCCAAGAAACGGCTCGGACCAACGACCAAGTACAGATACAGTTCACGACGGACACAAACACAGAAAAGAAGCAATCCCGCTTTTGCCCTTCGGATGCATACCAAAGCGCGCACTTGCATGAAGCGTCCCGAGAAGTCTTGTGATGAATTCTTAGACGTCGAACCACGCGGGCGCCTTTGGTGGCGGGTGTGGTTTGCATGCATTCGCAAGTGGAACCTTGGAAACCCCCATGTTTGCCGTGGTGTTGAATCCCCATGGCGTCGTCTCGGACGAAGTAGATACACCGACTCTCACGTTGCATTCTCGGCCATGGCCTCTCGAACGATGGCGCCGCTAACAAGCACGGATGGGGCTCTTGATGGGTCTTGAACGGGATCAAGGGTATCTCGAGCAGCATCGGGTCGACTCATGACTGCGAGAGGGAGCGGGTGCAGCTTCACTTTGAACACCGTGAGCACCTCAGGCCTCTCTGCGTGTCTGTGCATGCGCCACTCGCCAGCCCGGTCAGCGGGACGTTTGTCCTTCGTATTGCGTGCCTCAACAAGACACCATCTCGACATTTTCTTACACGAAGCGGCTTCTTTTCTCCCCCGGCTCGCCTGCTTACGAACCAACTTAGTCCTAACCCTGTTGGGCTGATATAGTTTTGGCATTGACACACTTGCAGATGGCTTGCCCCAAAGCGTTTCCATGTTTCTTCTCGTCCGAGATGGATGCCGTCCGCGTCATGGGACGAAAAGACGGGCCCGCGCGCCAATCTGCAACTAACGTTGCTGGTTCGGCCGATTCTGGTCTAAATATGTTTCTCAAGGTGCATGGTGTCTTGCTGGTTTTCGATAACGAAATAACCTGGAAGACATCTCCGTTTGAGAAGCCACCGACGGCTGCGGCGGCCACGGGAACGAAAGCGGGAAAAGACGCTTGACGAGCTTATGATGATCCCACATTCATTCAGATGCCCGTCTGCTGTTACATGACAGTCACACTTCCCGTCGAGCAAGCGCCTCCGGAACCGGGACCACGATGGAGATACGCAATCCAAGTCCCTCTTTGACTCCGTTGCCGTGCATTCTGCGCATTGATGGACGGCTCGCGTGTTTGCCTTGCTTTTCTGCTTTGTGTTGTTTTTCTTCGCTCTCTGGGATCTGGATCCGCGATGGCCCCTCCTCCTCCCCCACGTATAGGTGGTAGGCAGCCGACTTCTCAAACCTCGAGAGTGCGATACAAGCGTGTTGGAGCGAGGGGACCCTCGTCTCAGTATGAGACATACACGAGCTTGCCCGGATGAGGAATTTTGCGCTTGTGCGTGTTTGCGCGATGAAGGGTGTTGTTTATTGTTATCATTCTTCACCTTGACACGCCCTCTCTTGTTCGCCACGTAATATACATTTGGTTCCAGTTTTTGTCTCTACGTGCTACTGACTCTGCATCTGCGGATATGTACAAGACAAAAGACAAGAAAGGACTGGTAACTGTACTGCAACCTTTCGGCGCACAGGGTCTCTCCATCAAGGATTGAGTTGCGGGTTTGCTGACCAAGACACACCACCCATATGAGACAATACGATGCTTTGAGCTCCAAATCGCGTGGCGGATCTTGGAGGGCGAAAGAGGCTGGCGCTTGGGAGTGGGAGATTCCTTGGCGATTGGGCAATGCGACGACGGAGAAAAGAGGGGACCAGTTCGTTTGTGATGCCCATGCTAGCATCGGGTCTCTTTCTGAATAAGATGGTGTGTTGAGTGTTGTGTGGTGGTGGTAGGTGGGCGTGTACACAAGCAGGCGATAGCAGACGGTGAATAAGGGAGCAAGCACTACGACTCTGCGGGCGGAAAGGCAAAAACTTGGCTTTTTTGACATGGCCATGTCTCCAATGCAAAGTGACTGCAGAATCTTGTTTTGCCCATGTTTAGTTTGCCGGTCGTTGTCTACGAATAGCAGGTGCTTTGGATGACAGTGAGGTAGAGAGAGAAAGAGAAGGCATTCATTGGCGACGTCTCCCGTGGAATGGTTCATGTGAGAGTTGGAGAGCCCCTCTTGGTCACATATCACAGCGTCCTTTCACATGCGGCCCCGATGAGAGCCATGGTGTCATTCACATCGGACATACATGCTTTTCTCGTCCAGAGGGATTTTGTCACACGCACACATGAACGTCCGCAAACAGGGCTCTAGAGTCAAAGGTGTTTAGCGTAGTTTGCCCGGCATTTGCACGAGAAGGTGGGATGAGGAAAATACAGGGCTGGGATGACCAGGTGTTTAGACGATATCGGCACGAGCGAGCACGAGAGAAACACAATGGATTCGTCTTGATAACAAATGCGGCTTGTATCTGGCATTGGGATACGGCGAGTCACACGACACTCTCACGATCAAAGGACAAGAAGGCACACCGAGGCTGTCAATCCTCCGGATCCCCGCTTCTCAGGATGACACTTCCCCTCTTTCCGCCGAAAGGCTATTCACAAACAAAGAAGCTCAGAAGACAGTGACGTCGAGATTGATCAGTAGGGGTCG